TGCGAAGGAGAGACACCTGGCACCATTAGAGCCCATACATTCAGATCTCTGTGAGATGAATGGTGTGTTAACTAAAGGTGGAAAGAAATACTTCATGACTCTGATTGATGATTCCACTAGATTCTGCTATGTGTATTTGTTAAATACTAAGGATGAGGCTCTACACTACTTTAAAGTCTATAAGGCTGAAGTTGAGAATCAACTTGAGAAGAAAATAAAACGAGCCTGGTCTGATCGTGGTGGAGAGTACTTTCCTAATGAGTTTGATTTATTCTGTGCGGAACATGGTATTATTCATGAGAGGACGCCTCCCTACTCAGCACAGTCAAACGGGGTTGCCGAACAGAAAAACCGCACTCTAACTGATTTGGTTAACGCCATGTTAGATACATCGGGTTTATCCAAGGCATGGTGGGGGGAGGCTGTATTGACATCATGTCATGTCCTGAATAAAGTTCCCACAAAGGATAATGGGACTACTCCCTATGAGCAATGGGAAAATAAAATAACTACACTCTCTTACTTGCGCACTTGGGGCTGTTTGGCGAAAGTCAACGTGCCGATAACCAAAAAGCGCAAGTTGGGACCAAAGACCGTGGACTGCGTTTTTCTTGGCTATGCCAAGCATAACGTTGGCTATAGATTTCTAGTGGTGAAATCTGATGTACACGACGTGAAGGTCGGTACGATCATGGAGTCTAGGGATGCTACATTCTTTGAGGATATTTTCCCCATGAGAGATATGCAAAGCAATTCTAGACAGGAATCTGATGACACTCCTGAACCTGCTATTCTGTTGGAATATTATGAACATAAAAGTGATAAGGAGTTCCATGGAGGATGACTAGGAAGCTCCTGTTAGGAGCAAGAGACAGAGGACTGCAAAGTCCTTTGGTGATGATTTCCTCTTGTACCTCGTGGATGATGACACTCCCAGTTCCATTTCAGAAGCTTATGCATCTCCGGATGCTGACTACTGGAAGGATGCGGTCAGTAGCGAGATGGATTCCATCTTGGCTAATGGGACATGGGAGATCATTGATCGTCCTTATGGTTGTCGACCATTAGGATGTAAGTGGGTGCTCAAGAAGAAGCTTAGGCCCGATGGTACTGTTGAGAAGTACAAGGCTAGGCTTGTGGCCAACGGTTATACCCAGAAAGAAGAAGAGGATTTCTTCGACACTTATTCACCTGTAGCTAGGCCGACAACCATTCGAGTGTTACTCGCTTTGGCTGCCTCGCATGGTCTTCTTGTTCATCAGATGGACATTAAGACGGCTTTCCTTAACGGAGAGCTAGACGAGGAAATTTACATGCAACAACCAGATGGCTTTATAGTAAATGGTTACGAAAGAAAGGTGTGTAAGTTAGTGAAATCTTTGTATGCCCTGAAACAAGTGCCTAAGCAATGGCATGAGAAGTTTAATACAACTTTGACATTTGTTGGCTTTGTTGTTAACGAAGCTGACAAATGTGCATACTATTGCTATGGTGGGGGCGAAGGAGTTATACTCTATCTGTATGTTGATGACATACTGATATTTGGGACCCACCTCAAAGTAATTGAGGAGGTCAAGGCTTTTCTATCTCATAACTTTGAGATAAAAGACCTGGGCGTGGCTGATGTTATCTTGAACATCAAGCTACTGAGAAATATTGAGGGTGGAATTACACTTTTGCAATCCCACTATGTTGAGAAGATTTTGAACCGCTTGGGATATTCAGACTGCAAACCTTCTGCAACACCATATGATCCTAGCGTGCGGATTCAAAAGTTCGAAGGCACGACTGTAGATCAATTGAGATATTCTCAAGTGGTTGGTTCACTCATGTACCTAGCTTGTGCTACTCACCCTGACATCTCATTTGCTGTGTGCAAACTGAGCCGGTTTGTTTCCAATCCGGGAGATGTGCATTGGCATGCTATTGAGCGAGTAATGCGCTATTTGCAAGGTACTGTGAACTACGGGATTCACTATTCTGGGTACCCGACGATACTTGAGGGGTATAGTGATTCGAACTAGATATCTGATGTTGATGAGATGAAAGCCACAAGTGGATATGTCTTCACACTTGGTGGTGGTGCTGTTTCCTGGAAGTCTTGCAAGCAGACGATCTTAACCAGATCGGCTATGGAAGCAGAACTCACAGCATTAGACACATCATGCATCGAAGCAGAACGGCTTTGAGAGCTTTTGATAGATTTGCCGGTGGTTGATAAACCAGCCCCGGCTGTCCTTATGAACTGTGACAATCAAACTGTGATTGCCAACGCTAAGAGTTCAAAGGACAATATGAAATCCACAAAGCACATAAGAAGAAGATTGAAATATGTCAGAAAATCAAGAAACTCCGGAGTGATAGCGTTGGATTATATCCAGAAGGCTAAGAATCTGGCAGACCCTTTTACGAAAGGGCTATCACGGATTGTGATAGAAAATGCATCAAGGGAGATGGGTATGAGACCCACGTAAGTTGCCATGGGTGTAATCCAACCTATGTGATCGTAGATCCCGTGAATTAGGACCTGGGAAAACAATCCAGCGGTCAACTGAGGAGAGTATCCTTAATAAACCCACTCCGTTTGAGATGCAGTAATACTCTCAATTCTGTAAGGTAGGCTGACTTTTGTCTTAATGTGTTCCAAAGCTTGAGTAAGCAAGATGCTAACCTATAGAGCATTCTTTGGAGGAACACACCTATGTGAGCCCAACTGCTGGTCACAGTCTATGAGATTGGGTAATCTCTAGTAAGCTCATGATAAGGTACGGAGTATGACTAATAAGCTCCACCGGTGGGGTTTAGCCTTCGCCAGCCACGTATCAGCTGACAATAGGCGAAACTTCTACACGCCAAACTGAAATTCAAGGCATAGTCCATTGTTCAGTTGTGAAGAAGTATAATCCTGTTGCTCTAGGTGGAAGTTCAACTTAACAGTCTCCACTGAAATTTCTGATATATCAAACAATGTTTGGAACAGTTGAAACACTTATGTGCCTCGAGATCTGGTGAGGGATTGATGGATTATGGATGGGCTTAGGCCCATATAAGACATTAATCCCTAGTTAATCTTGAGGCTCATGTATGAGATGGCAGGTGGTGGGAAGTTTAGTCCCACCTTGCCAGTTGAGGAGAGTTGAGACCCCTTTATAAGGGCTGCTCTACCACTTGCCATTGGGAGCTTGGGAAGAGGAGTGGTACATGCGCGCTCCTCCTCCTCCGCCGCCCGCCTCGCAACGCCTCGTCACGACGCGCGATGCCGTGGGTTGCGGGTTGCGGGAATGAGCCGAGCCAAAGCTTACTTTTGCCGCTTAGGAACTAATTAATTAATCAGGGATTAATTAACGAGTCGCTAACAGGTGGGCCACTGTATGTTGGACTGTGGGCTGACTTGCGTTGCCGGGATTCGTCGACTCCCTTGTCGGGAGTGCGACCCTTGCTAGGAACGACGACTCCCTTGCCGGGAGTGGGTCGACTCGGTCGTGGGCCTCCGCCAGGCCCACGACTTTCTCCCGAACAGACTATATAAGAAGGCTCTGCCCAGTGGAGTCACCTAGTTCGGTTTACTCTCTCCCTCTCGCGTAACCTAGCCGTCATCTACTGTTCCTCACTCTGTGTTGTCTCCGGCGACCCCATCCCGACGACCGCGTGCATGGCTGATCGGGAGAGCAGGTGCCTCCGGAACCCTGTCATTCGAGATCCTGCCCGGGAGAACGGCAATAAGGTTTTTGGGGAGCGTCTCGACGCGACTGCTCCCGATTCGTCCCCAACTCCGTCCGCCTCTGCTTCCACTACTTCCCCTGCATCGACACCATGGCCGCCGCCAAGAAGAAGGCCACGGACGACGCCGAGGCTGCTGCTGCCACCGCCGCGTTGGCCTGGCCAACCGGAGGGTATGGTATGTTCATCCCTCGTTTACTCGTACTTGTACTAGCCGTATATGTGCTGCTCATAGATGGTTCATTTCTATGTTCTGTACGTGTCAGTATGCTTTGGTATAGCTATGAGATGCATACCTTTTATGCCATGCTTATTGTTTACTCGTGGATTAGTCTAATCGGAAAAATGCTAATATTTCCAACATGTATGTATACTATAGTGATAAATAGAAGCAACACCTTCAGACTTTCACCAAGCCTATGTCGTCGTTAACCAACCCACACTTCCCCTGCTTGTATTGCCCTCCGCGTTCTCTAGCAGCACACCCAAAACCCTCATGTTACTGTCCCCGGCCCCTGCCACAATGTTCACGTTGAACGCCATGATGAAACCGACAACCACCTATCTGGCTACATAGAAATCATGAGCGCACACAGTGGTCCCTTCACCACATTTTCCGTTGTACACTTCACAAATCCCTACAAGACATATCCCAGCTGATGCTCATCGTCAAGATTAGTGAAGATGCTAAAGATGCAAAGGGGTTTTATGCAAAAGAACATGCACACCGCGCGCCACGTCAGCAACTGACAAGCGGGCCCTGCCCGTTAGTTTCGGTGTCAAAATGTGTTTAAACACGGATCACCTTGATTTGTTGCAGCATGCCTTAGACTAGGTACTGATATGCAAAAAACGTGAAGTGGTACCAATTTTTTACCCGAGCCTCAATTATGGTACTTCCTTCGATCCATGTATCTCAATGTTAGATAAGTCCGATCTTAGGGAGTACCAATCGTGCAATTAACTAACTTATATAAGTTTGGAGTAATCCCCCTGAAGATGAAGTAGTTCTTTGTGATCGAAATTGCCTAGGAAATATGAATAATAATGTCCATGAGGAAAGGCAAATGCATCAAATCTTTAAGGGAGCCAAGCTAATCCTGAATCTGAATGTGCCTCTCGCCTGAGTACGGAAATTCATGTCGAAATTGAACTTGTTCGCTGTGAAATTTCTGGACATGAACTGTGGCAAGCAGCACGACATTTTTACTTTTTTCCAGTAAAAAATAATACAATGATCACACTCGTGCACTCTCGATTTACTTTGCAGTACAAAAATACTAAGCCGTCGTCGGCGTCGTCGTCTTGTCGCTCTCCTCCCTCGCGCGCATTTCGTCGAGCAGATGCCTCGCCGGCGGCGAGACCCTGGCCTCCCACTCGGCGAAGTCGGCCTCCACCTCCGCCGCCTCGGCCTCGAGCCCCAGCCGCTTCATCCCCCGCGCCATCACCCGGTACATGTACTCGTCCACGTCGCAGCCTCCCCTCCTCACCGCCGCCTCGTACACCCGCCACGCCGCGCGCGCCCTGCCCTTGGCCACCAGCGCGCGCACCAGCCTCGTGAGCCTGTACACGTCCACCCCCACCCACGGCCCCTCCTCCTTCTCCTCGAGGAACGCCTCCACGAGCGCGTCCACGGCGCCGGCGGCGGCCTCGGAGGGCGGCGAGGAGGAGACGAACGTGGCGTAGAGCTCCGGGTCGGGCCGGTACCAGGGCTCGGCGCGCGCCACGTGGAGCGCGGCGAGGGCGAGGGACCAGTGGCCCTGGCGCTGGAGCTCGGCCATGGCGGCGAGGAGATCGGCCCGGAGGAGGCGGCCGAGGGACGCGGAGGCCGCGCCGCGGGCGGCCGACGGGGAGCGGTCGGCGGCGGTGAGGCGCTTGAGGGACTGCACGGCGTGGATGGCCTCGGTGGAGAGGGAGCGGCCGCGCTGGAGCGGGCCGCGGTTGTCGCGCGGGCCGCAGGTGATGGCCCCGGCCCTGGGCCTGGCCGCGGCGCGCGGGGAGGCCGTGGGGGTCGTGTGCGGCAGGAAGAGGAGAGACGCCATGGGAGGCGAGGGTGGGAGCTGAGCGGGGGAGAGTGGTCGTTTGGAGGCTGGGAGCACGAGGAGGAAGAAAGGGGATGATGCGTTTCGCTGCGGACTTTTACGGGTGGCTTGGGAACCGTCTGATCCCTCGAAACTCTAGATCCTTTCATCCTATCTGTACCGAATTTTCTAAACGAAGAAGGATGGATAATTGGCTAGTGTACAGAACATCCCAAAATGCATCTTGCGGGCTGCGGCCTATTGTTCCGAAGGAGCTCAAAGCTTCCTGTGGAAATCAAACTATGGGCCTACTTCTTATGAAGTGAATCTGCATCGTATATGCCGCTGCCGACGACTTCTTTTTTGGTGTTGTTTGCATGCTTTGAGACATTATCGAAGATATGCTATGCACCTTACCTTGGATCTGGATTTTTTGATTGAACTCGACTGGCTTTGAGATGGCTAACATGTGGGCTAACACATGTTAGCCATCCCAAAATCAGATATTTTAAATTGTAAAATATGCATCCTTCTACCCTTAGGCATCGTTTGCCAAGGCCAACTCAGACTATGGGTTGTTTTTGTTGTGTCTTAGTTGGTTGTGTGATGCTCCACTAGACTGAGAGGTGTTCCGCCGCTAAAGCTTTATAAGGTTATCCTTTGATGAACTTTAATGAACTACGTTAATGGGTTTGATCTAGTTTCCTCGTCAATTCGGCCAGTCCTTTTTAAGAATCAACATGAGCTCCTTTCGACCCTTTCATAAGCTAAAGTGACTGACTCTAATCGAAGCAATAGACAAAGAAAGGGAATGATATACCAAAAAATATGAAC